TTCTTCTTCTAACCCTTTGAGCAGAATTTCCAACACCTTCCCTAACTTCAAAGTTCATATAAGGTACTCTCTTCCATGGCACACCACAGACACCAGTTGAAATATTATTTGTGTGATCCATCATGAACCATATAGGAAGTTCCAATGATCCTTTTACAATAAAACTCGTTTTTTGTAACTCCACATATGAAAGTGGTGTTAAAATGTGAAAGGTATGGGTAGCAGGATCTATGGATCGTATAATTGCATGCCCCAAAAATGAGTATTCAGAAGGTGTAGGTGGTGGGTAATCAGGACATGGGAAGTAACGTGGAGGCTGCTATTATATAAAATAAATTTAGTTTAAACGAATAGAATATATTTAATACATAATTGTTAAAAATACTTACAATATATATTTCCTTTTCTTGTGATAATCCTGACGAAGGTTCAGTTTCATCAATCATTTCATGACTTTCATCTATATCCGAAATATTTCCAACTAATCCAACAATTGAACCATTTAATGCATACAAAAGTTGGCTCCAAGGAACATCATTAAAGAAAACAAAAACACCTTTCATCAATCCTTTTGTCCAATCCAAACACCATGGAGAATGATGAATTAATGGTTTATCAAATTGCCACCATTTAGCATTTTCTTGTTTTAACAGTATAGCAGGTGTAGAATAAAAATAAGAAAGCATGGCTAACGTGCGATAATCCACAGCTGTATATTTTGTTGAAATTTTAGAATTATCAATTGCTTCAACAGAAAAAACTTTGGGCGGATCTTCGTTTGGAGGAGACAAGATGGAAACAGGAAATGGAGGAAGATTTTGATACGAGTGAATTAGTGAATGAAATTGAAACAAATGTGTTGGCTTAGCAAAGCCAAGAATACTAAGAAGGAGATCATATCCCATTCCTGTAAATTTCATAAATTGAAATTAGTCTTGTAAAATTAATTTAATTAACACATTATTAATCTATTATAAATTAATACCTTTTATCCACCCATGCGTATTTAAAATCAATGGGATTCGTTGTATCTCATCGTCCGCATGCATGCCAAAATCTGGTCCACAAGCGATATCTCGACGATAAACAATTACTAATTCACGTAAACAATCTAAATAATAATCGGGATCGTCACGAGGAGTATTGTTACCCACATAGTATGATCTATAGGGCCGTTGGATGTGAGTAAATGGAGGTCCTATTTACAAATTATTTTATTAGAGAAATATATAGAAAACAAGTGAGATAATAAAAAATTACATACCAAAAATAGGTGAATCCAATATATTGAGAGATACAGAACCTGGTGGAGTAAATTCCGATTGTCCTACATCGCTTTCAATATAAGCAACTTTAGGACAGCTGATTTGGCAAGAAATGTACCATAAGTAAATTTGCTGATATATTTGTGATCATGCAATCGCCTATTAACTACTTGACATCATACACATTAAGAAGATTGTTAAGTAAATATCTGGCAAATGTTGACTTTCCAACATTTCGGTGCCCACAAATAACAACGATAGGCGGCACATCTAATATTAATTTAAAAATATTATTATATTATTGATCTATTGTATCTATAAAGTATAAAGTACATACTATAATTAATGACATCAATAGCAAGTTGGTTTGCTGCGTTCAACCAAGAATCAGAAAGTTGAAGTGAAGTCAGGCCAGCTATAACTTCAAGAATCTATGAAAAAATCATTTAAAATAAACTCAATGATATAATATCTAATCGAACAATTCGGTTGTACCGGATAAAATCCAGAAATTTGAAATAAGTTTCTTTTTATAGAATCGGTTTCATCACTTTGATTATTCCTGCAAGAATTTACATTCTCAGCAGTAAATATATTTTTAAAGCATGAAGATGCAATTTTTTCTATTCCTTGAATACCACACCATGTCATTTCTCGGAAAACTAAGATAGTATCAAAGTTTTCTTTGACAATTTTAGATTTTATCAAAAGATCATTAATAGTTTGTTTAATATTCAATGATGCTTTAATTCCTCGATTCGAAAATATTGGTAAATTTTCTCGTCTTTCAACAGATTCTATGGAAATTAGCGAATGAGTTTTTGGCGAATATATTGGATGAAATATAAGATCATCATTGTAATTAATGAACGTGATTTCTTCAGCGAGTTCTTTGCCATCTTGCAAAGTTGATACCCCTTGTAATCTATGACCCATAATTATAGCGTCTCCTGATATTAGTGCGACCAATAGATAACCCTGAAAGTTTATTGTCTTTAAAAAAAAAAAAAAAATGACGTTTAGTATTAGTTGTATACGGCTGTTTAGACTGATATTTTTTTAAAACAAAATACCTCGCCATGTTTCATTCCTATAAGGCACATTTCAGGCACGTTTGTTTTCCCCGAACAATGGAAAACGTTATGTTCTGACGGCTCGAAACGTGAAACCGTAGAAGGATCGAGGATCACACTGGAAATCGAATATATGAGGTGGATACTTGATAAAATATGATCATATTAATATCCCTATTCTATACCTTTTTGCAGCCGGGCAATCTTTTTTTTCTTGAATATTATAATCGACATCATCGTCTTCACTAATTTCCTGCATCGAAAAAAAAATAATTAAATAATGATAAGGCGCATGGGCCAAGCCACAATTTATAAACGTACTGATCGCTGATTGCAAATTCGACAAAATTTATTTTTTATCAAAATTTCTTAGATTCAACTATTATTTTACATAACGATATAGTGATAGGCATTTTTATTCTTTCTTCTTATCCTTCTTTTATACAACAAAATGCCGCCAAAAAAACAGCAACAGCAGTCAGAAAAATCGAAACAAAAGGATAAGCAAAAGATTGTTGAAGATAAAACATTTGGCCTGAAAAATAAAAAAAAGTCTGCTAAGGTTCAACAGCAGATTAAGCAAATTCAAAATCAAGTGATGACTGCAGGAAACAAAAAGGTTCAGGTAAGTTACCAGGCTACCTATAAAAGAAAAAAAAATTAACGTTTATTGCCTGGTCGAATACCTCCTAAAATAATTACTTTTAATAATCTGTATTTCATATTAATGCAGAAAGAAAAAGAAGCTGAAAAACAAGCACTCGCAGATAAAAAAGCTGCAGAACAAAAAAAGAAGGAAGAACTTGCTGAGTTGTTCAAACCAGTTCAGACACAGAAAGTACCATTTGGTGTAGACCCTAAAACTATCCTTTGTCAATTTTTCAAAGCTGGACAATGTCAAAAGGGAGATAAGTGTAAGTTCTCCCATGATATTAATATTGAGAGAAAAGTTCAAAAAATCGATTTATATACTGATGCAAGAAGTGAAGAAGAAAAGAAGGATGGTATGAAAGACTTTAATGATTTATATTTTATTCATTCATTCGTTGTTAAGATTCATATTGATGGGTTCTTCATTCACAATTTAATGACACATTAAATTTATAATGACATTTTTTTAAGATACAATGGATAAATGGGATCAAACGAAACTTGAACAAGTTGTCACGTCTAAACATGGAAATCCTAAAACAACCACAGATATAGTATGTAAATACTTTTTAGAGGCCATTGAAAATCAAAAATATGGTTGGTTCTGGGAATGTCCTAATGGAGGTGAGAAGATTCAAAATTTGTTCGTATTAACAATTTCATCCTAGTCCATATATTTATTTTAATATTTCTGTTGATATTAAAATTTCATTGTGTTAACTTACTTTGCTTGAATAATGTAAAGGAAAGAATTGCAAATATAGACATGCTCTTCCACCTGGATTTGTATTAAAGAGTAAAGCACAGAAAAAAATTGAAGAAGAGGAAGCCAATCAAATAACTCTTGAAGAATTTTTGGAAACAGAGGTTTGTAATGATTATATATACATTATTTTATTTGTAACGAATATTACTCTAATTATTTAATTGACACGTCGTGAAGCGTCATAAATTAGGTACAAATCTCACACCTGTCACGCTTGAAAGTTTTTCTGAATGGAAGAAAAATCGCAAAGCAAAGATTGAAGCTGAGTATGAACTTAAACGTGCTGCAAAAGAAGCTGCTTTCAAAGCTGGCAGAGCGCAAGGAATGTCAGGTCGTGATCTATTCACTTTTAATCCTGATCTTGTCAACGAAATTGATGACGAAGATGGTGATGAGTTCGATTTGTCTGGATATCAGCGCGATGATTATCAGCGAGATGATAATGATAAAGAAGATGGTCAAGATGATGAAAATCTAGTAGATAGGCAATCTGATAATGATGATAAGATTGCCTGTGGTGAAGGTAGTAGTAGTGTCGAAAATGATGTTTCACATAAAACGGACAATACTTCTTTACCAGTCATTGTGGACGAAGTTGAAGTTAAAGAGGACTTATTTGCGGAAGAGAATTTGGAAGATTTAGATGATGATGATGATGAATAAAGTTCCGAATCAGATGAAATTGGTTACCCAGGTCACCTGCATGATTTTGAAATCGGGTAATAATTACCCTAGGATCGTCCATAAAAATGTACAGTACGTGACGGATAAGATATCCAATGTTTATTAATAAATTTAAATTGGCATAACTTTTTAAGACAAATTAAAATAAAATTTCTCCCAATTTGTAGTTTTTTTTTTTTTATTTTATCTAAACAACAAATTGAAGGGAATTATTTTTGATTTTAAAAAGTTATAACAGTTTGAAATATATAAATTTTAGAAATGCATTTATAAATAAATGTAAAAAAATTATATACAGTATAATTTAACGAAAATTTAGATTGGTTAATATTTTTAATATAGATATTTTATCATGGAGCTTTTTAAAATTTGGCAAAGTGGATATCTTATCATTGTGGCTTGCAAATATAATTAAGATTTTTTATCTGTTATGCATAAATTATATCACTTACTTATATATTATTAATTAATAATAAATGCAAAATAATTGTTATTAAAATCTATCTGCTAGACTTTATAGCTAGGGATGTTATCCTGCTAAATTGTTGCAGTTCGTGCTTTTGAAACCGCTCGAACACTGTTCTAGAACACCCAAATTCAGGGGTTTAAACTATGCTTTAAATTTGTTTATACCGACGTATTATTAGGGGGTTTCAAAATTAATAAATAAGTAGCGCATTTTAAAATTAAATAGGATTTTTTACTACGTATGTTGACTTATAAATCGGAAAAATAAAATAAGATTTTCTGATTTTAATTTTGAAACCCTTCATTAATTCCTCTTAAACATGCTAGCTTAAAACCCCGTTATTTATTGTAAATGTTGTAAGTGAATTCGGAATATCGGTAGATTCAGAATCAATTTACGGATCTTTAAATCAAGTATGTAATGTTTAAAATACTACGTAGAGATTAGTTTTTGTTGGTGTAATGTATCAGTACGGATTACCTATTCCGGATTGAATTTTCACCATATTAATTTGCTATTTATAGGGTTGTATTAACATACCTGACAATGTCTAAAGTTAACATGACCAGGGTTGTACGTAAAATTATGGTAATTTATAAATTTTGGCAGTAAGTTACCAAAATGATAAGTTACCATTAAGTTACTACGTAGTGAAGTATATTTTATTTCGTCTACTATAAGGAAATCTTTCGGTAACTTACCACCAAAATTTATAGTAACTTATCAGTTGCTTACTGCGGTAACTTACTAACTGTATTATTATACGTATTACGTAAATTTGGGAATTTATTTAAAATTTTGTAAATAACTCAAAATTTTATTATGAAAACTACTTTTGGGTTTCTAAGTAAAAGTTTTTAGCATCTAATTTTGTAAATAAATATCTTTTTTTAATATAATAATTAGTTAATTATTATAATTTTATTAAAAATTTATTATACAAAAATATAAAATTTAAATTTTAGCTAATTAAACTAAATTTTTTTTTAACTTAAATAACTACAGAACTATCATAATTTATTTTTTTAGTTAATTGGGTTATTTAATTAATTAATTATAGTATAAAAAGAAATATTTAAAAACAACTATAATATAATATTACAGTATAATATAATATAAATATATAATTAAAAAAATTTTTTTATATAAATTTTTAATTTAATATATAAACAACTTTTTTTTTTTTTTTTTATAAAATAAAAACAAAAATAATCTACAGATTAAATAATTAATAATTAAAATAGTTAATTTATTTGCATTTTTTTTAAACATTATTAAAATTTATTTTTTTGAAACTATTCATTTTTTTTTTATTATGATAAAAAAAAAAAAAAAATATAAACAAAAAGAAGTACAATTTCCAATTGGATACATATTTTATCGTTGTGTTTTTTCTACTTTGAAATTAAGGGTAACTTTTTCAAACCCCATTAATGATTTGTACTATATATTTTCATACCAATTAATATTTCGACCAGACTAATATTAATAAAGTTGCTTCATTATTATTTCTTTTGAAGTAACGTGTCTAGTATTTAAGACAAAATCCCTCATTTCGGACTTATAAAATTTTTATATATACCTTCACTTTTATAAAAGTTTAATAAATAAACCATGAGTACTTCTCGGAAAAATCAACCAAAAGGAAAGATAAAGCCACCAAAGAAATCGGTGAGTTCATTATACTTTTCTTAAAAACAATGTATGTGCAAATCAGGAAAGTATAAAATACTTTACCGCTAATCTAGAAATTAGGATCGAGTTCAACAATTACTCGTTTGTTGTTTAGCCCTTTTATGATTTTACTTTGCAAGTTGTCAGTAGGGACCGGAACTGTTAAAACGACCGAAAAAAGCAGCCGACCAATAATATTTGCTGATAGTCTATATAAATAAATATTATACCTGCAGACTTAAAATTGTTCTGTTCATTGCAACATGTAAAATTCTCTCAACTAATTTAAGAACTAAAATCATAACTTAAACTAAATATGAACCGTCGTTTACAGAATGTCGCAGATAGTCAATTCAGTGATAATTGGGACCGCCTAGCGCAAGCTATTCGAGAAATTCACAGGAAAAATGCGTCGATCTTAAGTTTTGAAGAGCTTTACCGTAATGCCTATAATATGGTCCTTCATAAAAATGGTGATAAGCTATACAACGGTGTGAGGGAAGTTATCACACAACACTTAGAAGAGGTAGCCAAAGACCAAGTCGTTCCGGCTTTCCCAATTTCAGGTGCTAGTAGTTCACAAGCAAATTCCGCCAACGGCGCTGGTGGTGCAAATTTCTTAAAAGTATTAAAAAGTGTTTGGGAAGATCATACAACATGTATGCTCATGATTAGAGACATTTTAATGTATATGGTAATTTTATGACTTTATTTAAATTTTCAAAAGTTGTTTACACGAATATGATTTATGAATCATTTCTAATTATTTTATTAAAAAAAATATATTATACATAAAAGGATCGTGTGTATGCCAAATCTGCAAATGTTCCTCTAGTCTACGAATTAGGATTAGAACTCTTTAGGGATACCATAGTTCGATCTACAAGAGATCCTATTCAAACTCATCTTTTGGACGTTCTTTTAAATCAAATCCTTCTTGAACGTGAAAATGAGATCATCGATAGCTCTAATATTAAAGCATCAATGGATATGCTACTCGAATTAACTGATGCAAATACTAAAGATACAGTTTATGCTACTGATTTTGAAGGAAGATTTTTGGAAACGAGTTCTGAATACTACCGAGTTGAAGGTCAAGTGCTCGTAGGAGATTGTGATGCACCAGAATATATGAAAAAAGTATATTAAAACTCATCATTGATATATATATTTTATTTAAAATTATCTAACACAATTTACTACTTGTATATTTATTTAGGTTGAGAAGCGTCTTAATGAAGAAGAACAACGTGTACGGCATTACCTTTCACAAACTACTGAACCAAAAATTAGAAGTATTGTAGAAGAAGAACTTATTTCTAAACATCTTAAAACCGTCATTGAGGTAATAATAATAATAATAATAATAATAACTTAAAGCTTCAACTATAATCAACAAAAGTCTTTTGCTTGTCATAACTTAAGAGGTAGTCTTATTAATTCTCTTTATAAAGCTTTAGATATTGTTTAAATAGAAAATAGAAGATATTTATGAATAATATATTATATTTAGTAATGATAATATATATTAAGCTCTAGTTCAAAAATTATTAAATTAGTTCAGAAGATAAGTAGTTTATATTATCAGATTTATCTGTTAGAAAAGAAAGTAGAGATGCAAAAAGAAATTATTGTGAAAAATGTTTTAAGAAATTAAATAAGAAATATGAAGTATAAGAGGTTATTAAGGAAAAGAAATTAGTTGTAAGCTCAAGTATTAAATTTAGAAGATAAAATTAGAAGAAGAAAGAGTAATAATGATGATAATAATAATAAAAGTAGTGGTAGCAGGAAAAGAATAGTTGGATTTAGATTTTTTAATAGTAGTTAAATTTTGTAAATAAAATTTTAATGTTTAAATAAATCTCTATACTACTGTTTTTAAATAATAATATTAAATAATAAAATAAAATTTTAACAAAAATTAATAAAATATATATAAATAAGAAAGTATAAAAAAAATAATAAAAAAAGATAAAATTTTAAAAAAAATTAGCTCTAGTTTAATTTGTTTTATTATTAAATATATAAGAAGAGAGAAAAAGTTTGTAATTATAAAAAATATTATAGTAAAAAGATTAAAGTATATATCAATATAAAATTATAGTTATAAATATTATAGTAATTTCTAAAATTTCATTAAATTCTTATGCCTACACATTTAGCTTGTAGAACACTTGTCATTAGCAGAAAATTTCTTTTTCTATAAAGTTGTAGTAAGTTGCGAGTTATCTTAATATCTAAAAATTTAATATCTAAAAATTTCTATAATTATCTAAGAATATTATATTTAGAAATTAGTTTTATTATCTAGAAATATTACATTTAGAAATTTTTTTATTATTTAAGTATTTTTCTCTTTTATTTAGAAATATTTTATCTGAGAATTGCTTTGTCATCTATCATATTTTATCTATTAATTTTCTTGTTGTTATTTAAAAATATTATATGAACTTCTATCATGAGTTATATTAAAGTATTCATTCAAATAAAAATTTAATCTAAAGTTTTTTATCAATGTATATATAGTTAAACTTTTCAAGTATTAATGCTTAAAGATACTTGATAGAATCTTTTTAGCTTAATAAATTAAATTAAATTTCTTTATATTTTTAAAGAATAATAATATAAAAACTACTAGTTATATCTTGTTCAAAATTGACAAACTGTAAGTTTTTTTATATAATATCTTTTGCAAAGAGTAATAATATTCTTATCATTAGCTAACTTTTACTCAGAAATAACAAACTGTTTTAATATAAAATAATATTTAATATAATATTCATAATACTCTAGTTCTATTACTATAAATAAATTAAGTATGGAACTCTTTCTAACGATCATCAAAACCAAAATAACGGAACAACAAAAAAGTTACTTTTCTTATGCTACTACCTGGTAAAGCAACTTAAAGTATCTGACTACGTGAGGAATAAACCACAAAACTGCGATAAGTCAGAAGCAAGAACTACAACAAGTCAGTTTCAAGGTTGTACTGAGCTTTTTGCCATCTGACTTTAGCAGGGCGACTTTAAGTCTGCTTAGTAGAAAGGTGCTGAAGGTGAAAAAGAAGAAGTAAAGAAGGACTCCAACTATGCTTGTGCTAGGTCAAGCATACTACCACTCCCTTAGTTCTGTTTTTTTAAAGAACTACTCCATATACCCTCAACAACTAGACTTTTGGACTTGGAATTGTTTCCCTTTGTTTCTTAACAACAAAAAGTGGGGATTTGGTTTACCCCTACCAAAAGATCGACATTCGTACTATGTCTATTTTAGAAAAGTCATGTTGGATGCTACCAAACAACAACAACTCGTAAACACATGTGGCACATGTTCTGTAGTTAACTTCTGTTGACTGGATACTATGTGAAATTTGTGAAGGCCTTGCTTTGTTGAATTAGTACTAAGTAGACATATTGGAAATTATTAATCAAAGAGATATATATATAGGTAGCAACTAGTATATATAATTTTTAAAGGTAGTGCTTGCTTTTAGGCTTGCCTTTA